CCATGCATACATGGAGGTTTCAAACTAAGTGCCAACTAGGAATACTAGGTTCCATTACTGTGTCAAATGAGCTCATAAGTTCCCATTGGATGTTGCGAGTGCCACAATATATGGAAATGGCGTCTAGAAAAATAATAATCCCCCCTCCCCCTGAAAAAGACATTAGAAAATGACAATTAGAAAATGGCTGGCATCACTGTCCCCATACACACAGGAAGCCGAGAAACAGTGCTTAGTCACATGGGTAAGACTTTTCTTCAAGGAGGTTCACTAAGGAACCGCCAAACCACATATCAAAATCAGGTAGGTTTAAACCTATACCATAAAGCGATAAGTATATTTAACCAATCGACAATCGACAGATAAACTATGTATTAACGAAGTCAAGCGATGGCACCTGAAACGAACGCCAGCCGCTGACCCCGCGACCCATGGCCGCGGTCGGACGAGGCCGCACGCCGGCTTAGCAACCGCTAAGGAATGCGACAGAAAAATCCGAAAAATTGTCAGATACAAAATCCCCTTTCTAACTTCCTCTAACCCTAAACCTCGTCCTTACCCATTCCAGTACCATCCTAGTTCCTCCCCTTCTACAGCACCCGCCTCCTTCCCTCAACCCCTCTGCTGGAACCCTACAATTTAAGCACATTATAATGCAGGGCTCACTATAGTGGACTGTGTAATTTGGTAATGCAGATACAGTTCAAACATTTGTGCATGAGTATGAGCGTGTATGCTAGGAAGTGCGCACGTACATATGTGTATGTGTGTACGTGCCCATGTGTGTGTGCAAGAGAAGCAATACACATGCGCGTTTAAATTAATGTGTGGGGCACGTATGCGAGCATGCGTATGGAGGTATGTGTGTCTGTGTCTGTTTACATGTATATGGTTTTGTTAGTGTATATGCAGTTATATGTATGCATATAGTTATGTGTGAGTACACCATGCATGTGTTCCCTTGTTTGTACTTCATGGTATATATGTGTCTAAGTATATAGATATGTATATGTCTATGCATGTGTATATATATATACATATGTATGTGCATAAGTGCATCTATATGAAATATATGTACAGGTATATAATTATACGCGGGTGTACATTAAAACATAAGTGTGCGTGTTCATATGTATGGTTGTATATTTGTGCATAGTAATACATACGTGCACAAGGCGTGTATAAATGTGGGTTCGCATCTAGGTAGGTGTGTATACACATATGTACGCACGTGGAGATACATATGACGTGCGCATGTCTATGAAAGTGTACGTGTATGTATATATATACTATGTATGTGTGTACGTGTCCACGTGTGTGTATGTAGATATGTGTGTGTGTACATGTGCATGGTTATGTTTGTGTATATACAGTTATATATATGCATACAGTTATATGTAAGAGTGTATATGATTTATATACATATACATATATATGTGAGTATATATGTATACATATATACCCATACACGTGCGTGTGTGTCTTTGTATGAATAGGTACACACACATATATATACATATATATACACATTTCTGCGTCTTTGTCCGTCTATGAATATATATATATGTGTGTGTGTGAGAGAGAGAAAAAATATATATAGTGTATTTATGTGTATATATATATATATTGATAGAAGGATAAATATAGTATGTGTAGTTTATATACATATACGCACGCACACACACACACACACACACACACACACATATATATATATATATATATACATATATACTATGTAAGTATACATATATGTATATATATTAAATATATATATTCTAAATATATGTATATATACTATATATATGCGTGCATGTGTATGTGTAAATAAATGTATACATACACACATAACTATCTATATATATTGCTAGCAAGATAGATATAGTATGCACTGTATATATATGATATATATGTATAATATATATATATATATATATATATATATATATATATATATATATACATAATATATATATGTATACACTTAATTATAACCTACATATTTGCATGCCTGAATATATCAATCAATACGAAATAACTAAAATGATTATCCCATAACCTTACCTTATTTCTTCACACACTCTCTCCCGGTAAATTCGTCTCAGCTGAGTGACCGCGCGTGCCTTTCCTCGGGCGTCAACCAGAGAGACTCCGCTCAAGGGAAGCGAAGGCAGAGTGAGGGGACTCCTGCTCCTCTCCCCGGTCTTGGAGATGAGGGAAGGCTAGCCCAGGTGGTCATTGTTGTTCCTTAAGGTTCGATGGGACTATCGAAGAGGTAGATGCATGCATTAGGGTTTAAAAAAAGGCCGTTAAATTCCACAGTCTTTTGCACAAACACACACACATAAATAATTATATATATGCAAATTCAGTTCTATATTTACGGATATGTACTCATACATATATTACTAACCAAGGTTAACTGGTCAATATCGCACTTTAGGCTCTTTTCGGAATTTTCTGTTACTTAGTATATATATGAGTGTTTTAAATATACATATATATATATGTGTGTGTGTATGCATATAACTTATCCATTTATTCATATATATGTAGACACACAAAGAAACAGACTCAGACACGTACATATATATATATATATATATATATATATATATATATATATATATATTATTTATACATGTATTCATACACACATACGGAACACATATATATGTATATATATATATATATATATATATATATATATATATATATATATATATTGACATATACAATTGTGTGTGTATATATACATGTGTGTATATATATATATATATATATATATATATATATATATATATAAACATTAGTAAATATATATACACAAATATATGTGTATATATATACAAATATATATATACAAAAAAAAATATATATATAAGTATATATACATACATAAATATGGATAGCTGTACATATATAGATAAAAATATACATTTATACAAATATATACTTGTATAAATACAAATATATATTTATATATATACGTATATAAATATAAATATACATCTATATGTTATTATATATATAGAGATAATTTATTCATATATTCATATATACATATATATACATATATATTCATATATTGATACACACACATATATATGTATATATATTCACATATACATATATATGCATACATATACATACGTATATGCGCAAATATATACAGATGTATACATATGTACATTTGTATATATTTGCGTTTATATACAAATATATACATGTGTATACATATAAACAGAAATATATAAATATAAATATTTACATACCCACATATATATGTAAATATTTATACACACACATATATATATACATATGTATAAAGACACACAAATAAACATATGTATTGCTGTATATTTATACAACTACAAACTGCCAAAGTCTCCTATGATCTCACCTTATGTCTTCACACACTCTCCTGACAGGTAAGCTCCCCGAAGCTGAGCGGCAGCTACGAGTCTTCGCTTCATGGGACGCTCGACTGAACGTGAGGCGAAAGTAAAGAAATGAAACTGACACTCCTTCCCTGAGTCTTGGGGATTGGGAAGAGTTACCCCAGGGGTTTCCAGAGTAGTTAAAGTGGGTTGCTTAGGCGAAGTAGGGGACGGATATAAGCCTTGGGGTTTTAAAAGGATTGTTAAACGCCTTTTTATGAAATAAAATACAAGAAAGTATTGAGACCATTCTTTATTTCCTGGTTTACGGTACAAGAGTTTTGCAAGGCTTAGTTTCCCTTACTGATGTATGTGGGAAGCACAAATGTATAAGAAAACTGCACATTTACTTAAGTATCCTTAATATATATTTGCATATATATATGTCTGTGTGTGCATATATGTGTACACACAGAAGTTTGGGAATTCTTTAGCCAATTATAATTCCGTAAATGCCATGAAATAAAATAAAATCTCCTCTACGGATTTATGCTGTACTTGACATGTTTAATGTGTAGTTCTTTAGAGAATAATAACCTTTTATGACCTGTATTTAAATCCGCATGGGATTTTTGTTCAGGTAAGCACATGTCTGCTGGTAGTGAACAGGGGTGGTCAAAAGACTGCTACTACTGGTCATGGCATTCGAGAAATCTATTGCACCTACTCTGTATGACACCTGATTTGGAAGTCGTTTGGCTATTTGAAAAGAGGGATTTAGCTTCAATTATGATTCCCCTATTTTAATGAAAAGAAGGAAATTCATGGATACTATTTGAAAATAATAAATGGATATTTCATTTTGATTTTAAAGGCCGACACAATTTCTATCTATCTAGTTATATATTTGTATACATGTATATATATGAAAACATATTCATATATGCATATATATATATATATATATATATATATATATACATACACACACACATATATATATATATATATATAATTCACACACACACACGCACGAACACATACACACACAAACACACACATATATATGTATATATATTCATAAGTATGTATGTTTATGTTTATTTTCATTATTATCATTATTATTGTTAATGATATATTCTTTTTATTATCATTATCATGTTCCAATTATTTCCAATTATTATCTTCATTATTATCATTATTATTATTATTCATATATTTTTTTTCATTATCGGTATCAACATCATCATATTTGATTTTGTTTTTATATGGATGTTATTATTACAGAAATTATTTCTATCCTTAGTAATAATAAAGTTAATGATATTGTTATGAAAGGTCACTTTTTGTACTATTAATGTTATTATTGCTATTAATATTTTCATTGATATTGTTATTCTATTTCTTATCATTATTAGATTATTATTATTCTATTAATATATTATTTGTTTCATTACCTATTATCATTATTATTGTTATTAATTATATTGCTATTATCATTATTATTCTCATTAATTATATTGCTATTATCATTATTATTATAATTATGATTATCAACATTATCATAGTTGTTGTTATTATAATCTTTATTGTTATTAAGTAAATAGTGATAGTTGTGATGACAACGATAATCATCGAAAACGATAATGATAATGATGATAATGAGGTGATGACGATGATAATTGTAATTATAATAATAATAATAATAATAACTACGATCATATCATTAATGATCAAGATAACTGTGGTAAGGACTATATGATGATACGGAAGATAATAGTTGAATTAACGATAGCAAAAAAATAGAAATATGTAAAGTAATATCATAAAGTAGATGAGACGCGGACATGAGACGCTATTTATAAATGAGTATAAATAATATAACAATATAAATCTGAATGATATATATATATGAATATATATATATATATATATATATATATATATATAAATGATGTAGATGATAATATAATAATATTACAATATTTTTATTATATATAACAGATAATAATATATAATAATATATATTAATAATATAAATATAAATAATATAAATGAATAAATGACATTTTATCGAATGTTACGTTTTACTGTAGAAGGCTTCTCTCTCTCTCTCTCTCTCTCTCTTTTTCTCTCTCTATCCCTCTCTCTCTCTCCCTCTTTCTCTCTTCTCTCTCTCTCTCCCTCTTTCTTTTTTCTCTCTCTCTCCTCTCTCTCTCTCTCTTTCTCTCTCATTGTTCGCCGGTCATTTAGGGAGTATAAGAATAAACATAGGATTACATAGAAATATTATACATGTTCTTAACTAATAAATACATAACAATAGTAAATAAATAACACTTAATATTAAATACATAACAATATTAAATACGTTACACTTAATATTAAATACCTAACGTAACTAGTAAATACATAACACTCTTATGTTATGTATTTACTTTTACTACATAACTACTATATCTACAATCAGTACATAACTATGATTGTGTATTAATAGTAATTACATAACATAACAAGGTTCGCCGATAATTTGATATTGTTGTAATACAAAAAAATCTTTATATTAATGTATTTATTAGTTACGGACATGCATAATGTTTCTATGTAATCCTATGTTTTATACGTAATGTAAGATGTAAGTATAACAAATGAATTACGAATAATCAGATTATAAACTTTTGGACAAACAAAAAGATGCTTATCTGAATTCCAAACAATATATGTATAAATATATCCTGAATATATATAGATTATATAAATGAATAAATGACTCGAATGTTACGTTTTACTGTAGAAGGCTTTTCTCTCTCTCTCCCTTATTCTCTCTCTCTCTCCCCCCTCTCCTCTCTCTCCCTCTTTTTTCTCTTTCTCCTTCTTTGCTCTCTCTCTCTCTCTCTTATCTCTCTCTCTCTCTCTTTCCTCTCTCTCCCTCTCTCCTCTCTCTCTCTCTCCCTTTCTCACTCTCTCTCTCTTTCTCTCTCTCTCTCTCTGTCTGTCTGTCTCTATCTCTCTCATTCTCCATCCCCCCCTCTCTCTCTCTTTTCATTGTTCGTCGGTCATTTAGTGAGTATAAGAATAAATATAGGATTACATAGAAATATCATACACGTTCATAACTAATAAATACATAACAATAGTAAATACGTAATTTTAATAGTGAATACATAACTTAAATAGTAAATACATAACACTGTTATGTCATGTATTTACTATTACTACAAAGCTACTACATTTACAATTAATACATAAGTATGATTATGTATTAATAGTAAATAAATAACATGACATAAGGTTTGCCGATGATTTCATATTGTAATACTAAAAATTCTCTATAATAATGTATTTATTAGTTACGGAAAAAAAATGTTTCTACGTAATCCTATGTTTCATTCGTTGACGTAAGTGTAACAAATGAATTTGCATTTTTTTTTTTTCAATTTCAATAATCACATATATATGTGTATATATATAATCATATATATATATATATATATATATATATATATATATATATATATATATATAATCACATATATATAGAAATATATAATCATATATATATATATATATATATATATATAATCACATATATATAGAAATATATAATCATATATATACATATATATATATATATATATATATATATATATATATATATATATATATATATATATATATATATATATATATATATATATATATAATCACACATATATATACATATATATATAATCACACATATATGTATATATATATATATATATATATATATATATATATATATATATATATATTTATATATATATATATATATACATATATATATATACATAAATTATATTTACTTATTATGTGTGTGTGTGTGTGTGTTTCTGTGTATACAAATATTTATTC